CGTCAATAACGTTGGCCTCCGGCGAGGTCGTCACTGGAGATGTTGTCATTGCCGCTGACGGCGTACACACGATTGGCGTGGAATCTGTCCTCGGCCACTCCAACCCGGCGGTGCCGCAAGGCCATTACAACTTTTGCTTCCGCTTCCTCATTCCGGCCGTGGATATCGAGGCGGATCCGGTGACCAAGTTCTGGACTGAAGGCGATGATGGACGGATGAAGTTCCTGGTGGGAGACAAGAAGCGTCTCGTTTCCTACCCTTGCAGAAAGTGAGTGGGATATTCTGAGATGAAGGCAAAAGGAGGGAATGGAGCGCTGACTTTGCGCAGCAACGAGGAGCACAACTTTGTGGCCATCTTCCACAACGATGACATCGAGTCCACCAAGAAGGAAGACTGGCATGCGTCTGTGGGCAAGGAGAAGCTTCTCGAGAGATATTCTGACTTCCACCCGAGTGTGCTTGCCATCTTGGAGTAAGCGATCCCTCTGACTCTGTACCAGGGTCTTAGAAACTGACATCCTCATAGCAAGGCCACCGAGGTGAAGCAGTGGGCTTTGCTGTACCGAGCCCCCATTCCTTCATGGACGAAAGGAAAGATGGCTTTGGCTGGCGACGCTGCCCATCCCATGTTGCCGCGTAAGTAGCGACCCTACTGAGGATGCATGAAATAGAGACTGACGGACAGCAACAGACCAGGGCCAAGGAGGAGCCCAGGGCATCGAGGACGGAGTGGCCCTCGGCATCGCACTTGCCTCTGCGGAAGCCAAAGACGTCGAGACCAGACTGCGGGTGTACGAGGACATTCGCAGAAACCGCGCCAGCGTGATGCAGATTTTCAGCAACGCTGGCCAGGAGGAGCCGGAGCTCATCCGGGAGGAAGCGTCCAAGTTTATCCCAGCGGACAGGGTGCCGAGTAAGTTGAGCCACAAGCCTCTGCTAGTTGGAGCAACGGACCAAACCATTCTGACTCATATTGCAGAAAACCCCGAGGAGTTCTTTGCATACAATTTTGGATACGACATCATCCGAGACAGTGTCCAGAAGGTACAAAAGGTAGACGCGTCGTTCGAGCTCCCGGCGTCGTTCTTCCAGAAGGCGCCCGGAAAGGGTGTTTATCCGTCAGAATCGGTCTGAATGCAAGCGTGGACATAATGATGTCGCAAGGTTAAGGTTCTTGCCGAGCGGTGTGGTGCATTAGACGATTTCCTTGGATACCACGAGGCCTGGGACCACCTGGGAGGCTTTTCGTCTGTCAAACTTCTGGCCGTCCCGCCCGTCTGGTTCAAGTAATAGTAACATGCTATATAGGAGTCAATTCAGAGTACAGGAACAGATAGAGGTCTTCCAGAAATGCAGATCAGATTCCTGGTGCAGTGGGTTGGCCCAAAGAAACATTGCCAGGGCCTCAAACTTACCTCAGTATGGCACCTCGTACAGACTTTTCTGCCGCTATCGGGCGAAACACGGCACCGGCAATCACAGATCAGAGCGTATCCATTCCTTATCCAAGATAGGTACCCCGCGGTGTCGGAATCATCGGCCGTCAGGGAGGCGTGGAGGGGGAAGGGGAGGGGGAGGGGAAGAAGTTGGAAAGGCGGTCAGCTCAGCGCAGCGCAAACGGCGGCGGAAGGCAGGCAGCACCTCAGGCGGCAGGCGGGCGCCAAGCAGCGCCATGCATCGTGGCTGCGGCTATCCGGATGCGGCTCCACCACGCCATGCAGCTGCTGAGCTTCACCACTGGCGGCACTGGACACTTGTCAGTGCAGTACCTCCAGTACCTCCCCCGCCAATCGCTCTAGCCAGGGCGGGGTTCTTCTCAGGCCTTCTAAGCTGCAGCTAGCTGAGTCCAGTTCAGTGAGCTGTCTCTCAAGCTGCAGCGTCGACTCACCAAGGCACTGTTGCAGTCTGCAGCGAGGCCTGGAGCCACCTCGGGCACGAATCTCTATTCTTCTTTCCGTCTTTCCCAGATACCTGCCGTACGTTATCTTGGGGAAGTCCCTTAGGTAAGACTGAAAAAAACACCCGAAGCGGACCACCTCACCGAAACTCTGCAAAACTCAATCTTTAGAGAAAGAGACAGTCTGCCCCTCACTTTCGTTCACTCATTCCTCGGCAGACAGCATTCCTCAGAAGCTTCTTCTGGACAGCTTCGACACACGGACGCACACTCAGACACCCGACACAAAAGATAAAGAAGAACGCACACGCCCACACGCCCCAAATCGCCGAAAATGGGTAGAGAAGACCCCTACGGCTACCCATCATCATCTTCCCGCCGGGACTCGAAATGGGATGATAGCGAGGACTCTCTCAGACCCTCCGCCCGCGGCCAGGACTCTTCTTCGTCCTCCTCCAGACCCCGCTCGAGATCACGCTCCGGGACACGCTCGACCAAGACGCACAAATCCTCAAAATCCTCCAAGTCTTCCCGATCCTCAAAGGCCCCCGAGGTCGTCTCCAAGCCCTCCAAAACCCCCAAAGACCCCCGCGACATGCCTCGCAAACGCAAGTCAACCGGCGGTGAGACCTCCACCACCACCGCCGCCGCGGCCACGAGCACGAGCACCGAGATCGCCAGTACCAAAAACACCAGCAGCGGCAGCACCTTTGGTGTCTCCCCGGCCGGTCTCTTGAGCAACCTCTCGTCTGCATACAGCGTCTTCCAGGCCCTCCCGAACCTCTCAAACCTCACCGGCGGCGGTTCTGCTGCTCCCACAACGCCCAATGGCACCCCCATGACCACCTCCTCCTTCGAGCTCGCCCTCCCCGACACGCCCGTCACGAACCTCCTCAACCCCTCCAACCTCCGCTTCCCCAACTCCCAGGACGTCCTCCATGCCCGCCTGTCCACAAACCTCCCCCGCCACGGCAACGCCTACGTGATCCTCCTCGTCGGCACCCTCCTCACCTCCCACTGGCTCGTCCTCGCCGCCCTCTTCGGCGTCGTCAAGGGCGGCCTCTTCCTCCAGTCCTACAACGGCCGCGACATTGCCCGCGACCTCGGCGTCCGCAAATACGCCTCGTCCCAGCAGCTGATGACCGGCTTCGCCGCTGCCGCTGCCTTCGTTGCCCTCTGGGCCTTCTCCTCCATCTTCAGCGTCGTCCTCACCATCGTCAAGGTCGCCGCCCTCGTCTGCGTCCACGCCGCCTTCTTCGACATCGACGCCGCCCCCAAGGGCCGCCCCATCCACAGAGTCCCCAGCGGACCTGTTCCTACTACACAAGGCGTGCTGAGGCCCGCGGGAACTTCTGCCCTCACGCCGCAGAACGCTGTCGCCTGGGCTGGCCAGCAGATCCGCTCCGTCAGCGAGGGCAACCTCAACCTCAGCGCCGCCGCCGCGCAGGCCAATGGCTGGTTCGCGGGTGAGGGCTTCGTCGAGGGCGACCGCGAGGAGTTCGTGGCCATGCCGCGGCCACCGCGATCGTCCGGGTCGTTTGACCAGTTCACGCCGCGCAGCGAGGAGGGCGGCGTCGAGGAGATCCCGCGGCCGTGGGGGTACCACGAGAACGCAAGGCCACAGAGCTACGTCGCGGGAAGGTCATACTAGAAATTCACAGATGACATCACGAGAAAAAAACAAGAAAGAAGCATATCTCAGAGTTACGGCATTCTCTGGTTTCATTGACGTTGGATGGTTTTTCATGGGAATGTGGAAGCTAAGATTGGCGCTAGATAAAAATAGAAGCTTGCTGTCCCAAGCCATTCCCTGGTTGAAAATGTTTCCGAGTTCACGAAACAGCGCACAATGGTTCCTTCCCACGCGGATCACCCGCGATTGACCTTGCTCCTGGCATGAATTTGCCAAGTCATGACAATTGCGGGCGGTCCTGATGGAATTTTGGCATTTCGCCGGACAAAATTGGTATTGTCGCGATGCTGCCGTACGATCGCGTGAGCTCCCCCGTGGGCCTAACACAAGCAGCAAAAGTTCATGGAAATCTTCTTCCTCACGACCAGGGACAGCACCCCAGCACGCAATGAAAAAGAGAAAAAAGCCTGTCAGACGTCCATCGACACCCACCCCGCCCGCGCGCCACAAGGGCAAGACCGCAGACGGGGACGAGATCATCACCACTCTCTATACAGCCTGCGAACGAATCGCCGACCGCCATCCTTGCGGACAGGTCGAGAGCAACCAGAGTTCTTCACTCTAGGGTGCCGAGGATATCACTCATCAACCAGGGTGGGATCTGTGGCTCCTGTAGGGAACCAAGAATAGGTCGAATACTATAGAAATGATTCTCTGAAGTATTGTCGACATGAAGGAAAAAGAAGAAAGAAAATCCTAAGTGAGCGGGAGGGAAGAGAGGTTTATATAGAAGAGCAGAGGGGAGGGGTGTGGGGCGGAGGTGCGCCGCGATCAGTAAATTTTTTGGCCAATGAGAATTCGGGGGTTGGTGGGTGGGTGCGGTGGGTACGTACTTGGTGCTGCCTGAAAAGTCTGCATCGTGGTGAAATGGGTGGAAAGAGCGGGTTTGGGCAGCGCGCTGGGTTGAATCTTTTGAGGCATCCAGGCAGAAGGAAAATTTCACTCTTGCAACTTAGGATTTGGGTGGGAGAGTGCGTGGGTTGATGCTGCTGGATGCAATGGGGCGACAGCTGCTGTACTTGATGCCTTCTTGGGTGCTGCTGGGGATATTCACAGCTGCGATTCGGATGGCCTCGTCAGTTGAAAAGGGGAGCAAGCGTCGTGAGGCTGGTCTTTTCTTCCCGCAATGTGAATTCTCGTAATTTGCTTTCCCGTCAGCATGATCGTCTGTTCCAAAGGCATCAGAGTCTTCCGCAGTATCACAGTGTCGGAATCCATGCGGGTGAGATTGCCTTGGCGTCCTTCCTCCGCTCTTTCGTCTGCCTAATCGAGGTTGATATTCTCGCTTCGCATCGCAGTTGTTGGTTTGCGAGCTCCGTGTGCCAATGACGCGCCTTCTGTTCCCGGCATCTTTCCCGCCTACAAACCCAGCACGTATCAGGAACCCCAACACGAAAAGACGCGTTCACAATGCCAAGCCCAGAGACGTTCCCTCCGCCAGCCGGCGAGTTCTTCAAGCTCTACATGCATCCATCCAATAGCGACAAAGACAAGAACGCCATGATTAACATGTACCAGCTCTATGATTGCTACCACCGGTGTGCGAATCTAGGTGTTACGTATGCTCAGGGGTCGTGGGGCTACACAAGTGACCCTCATACCTCAACATTCACCAGATTTCCACCCAACTGATACATCCCCTTCAGTATTGCGCACCGCGTATTCGGAGGAATCCAGCGCCTTATGGCAAGAAGTCTTTGAAAAAATGAAGATATGGGTAACCCAGTATCTAGTCTATGTTGACTATCTGAGGAGTAATAAGTCCGACGCCTCAGTCACTAAAGAAATGGCGCGACGTTTCGCCGTGGACGTCGTTGAGGACCAAGGCGGATATTCAAAAGCGGTGAGGCACTATCCCAACCTTACGGGCGCGAGCCAGCAAGACATCAAGTCGCTCGTCGAGATTTTCGAGACCTGGCGTGGTAACACTCTCGGCAATGTCGACATGGAGACCAACAGCCGTTATAGCCCCCGGTTCTGCGATTTTCTGGTCATCGACGAGGGTTCTCTCCGCTCGCTCGCTGCACTCCCCAAGGAGACGCCACACTTGGAGCCAGTGAGTCGTGCCGAAAGAATGGTAGGTCTCCTATTACTTTGTAAGTAAGGCCTACTTTGACACGATTGATAGGCCCGGAATGTGCTGTATGAGAATTCCTACGTCTGGCTCATAGACTCGCGCGCCGCGAAACGCTTCCGTGGCGTTGAGGACCCGGTCAACTACGATGGATGCATGAAGCTGAGTGTAGGTGATATCTATGAAGCGTGGTTTGAGAGGGTAGTAAGATTCGAAGAATTGGACTGGATTTTTGAGCGCGAAGAGAAGGCTGGAGAAAAGTGGTATTCTCCGCGATAACAGCCTTCATGATTACGACACTGCAGGTTAGGTTGTTTTTTTATGTTGCATTTCCATCCACAAATTTCGGGGTTCGACAACCCAATCCTGCACGGGGAGATATCTCTGTTTCGAAGTCGGTTCCAGCATCGCGACACTGTCCTCTGTTTTGCGTAGTAAGAGGCCGCTCGTGCAGTTATGATTACGGCACCGAGGTCCCGTTGTGACTGATTTCTGGCTTTCTCCAGACCGGACTCTATCGGCTATTACTGAGGCGTGAACTACCAGCCAGCCAGCGTACTTTTATAAGAACCTACTGTTCTGAGCCTTTGATTGTTTCTGCAATCGATTTTGTTTGTCCCAAACCTTCTAGTTCTGCTACTATGGCATGGTCATAGTCTGAACATGTGTAACAGACAAGCTGGGATCAGAGGGTGGATTTAATCTCTCTTGCAGCGCTTATGGGTATTGTTATTCCTCATCTTTTGCCATTTATTCGGGGAGGCGTTCTCATTCTTGCTTTAGATCATCAACGTGATTCTTGCTTGGCAGGCATATGTGAACGCCGGTCAATAGCATCACTTTCGCAGATTTGCACTGAACTTTTCAAACATTGGCCATATTTGCTTGCCGCTCATATTGATGCCTCAAATATATATCCTGCACTCTAGGGACAGCAGGATATGAATGACTAAGGGCATGTCTCAGCGGTCTTCTACAGTTGGCTGGTCAGGGGGGTTATAATCTCTGATCCTACCCGCATCAGCGATGTGGTGAAGATCAGCCATGGCTTTAGCAGCACAGGGCCTCTTTTTTGTATAAAAACATTCATTTTTCGTCATCTTGATGATTTTCCAGAGGCGGCAAAATACAAGTGGCAGTTTATCTTCACCGGCTATCTAGCCAACACCGCTGAGGCTTGAGCATAAGATGTCACTTGATTGCTCAATTGCTGACTGGCATGAGATCAGCATTTATCGTTTTGCTTGACTCTGTTCCTATACTCTGTCTTTGGCCGTGTATTCAAATCGGATTTGGAGACAGGTAGTCTTAGGAGTGTTCCATATCAGCATCTCATGGTCTAACGTGGACGCACTGCGTTCACGGCAACAATCTTAACGGTAACATGTCCTACTGCCCCATCAGCAATCTTTTCGTGAGACAATAATCTTTGAAGAATCTCTTCAGTGTAACTTGCTGACATGCCACATTTATAGGCATGCAAATGCTGCATATTGCCTTCGATACAGCGCCCTGGGCCCTGCTGGTATTATGTTCGTGTCCGCGCGGTCGCAGTGTTTCATAAGACATGCTTGCCGGTATGCTGATTATGCGCTATGTTCAAGGCGGTCGATGGCACGCATGTAAGATGCCTCAAAGTTGTCTTTGGATTTGCTGACCACGCTATCTTTCCTGAGAGCCAAAGAAAGCCGGTCCCAGTATAAGAGGGCGTGGTCTGTACGACCTTGAAACTCCACAAGACAATGATCGCCGGATTTGGCGCCAATTCTGGGCTGCTAGATCGTGCTTGACGTGTTGTCAATTCATGAGCTCTGTGCTGTTAGCTGGCGTCAGCCCCGCGATGTGACGTGAACGTCGACTGTCCCTTGCCCGGCTCTGTCCACGATATCTGTCCGTGGAGGTGTATTCCCACCGACACAAACCAAAATACTCGCCGATGTGAGTGTGTCACGTTTCATAACAGAAGTAGAATCATGCTTGTAGCGAAGGACGACGAAATGACACTCAGCCTGTCACATCTTGACTCTGCAGAGATTGCTGCGTACAATTTGTCGTTTGAAACGATCAAGCTGCATCTACCCTGTATTTAAAATGTCTGATCTTAAGCACGAACCTTTTAATGCAGATCTACCAAGCTGATAACGTCTGGTGTCGTTCTCAGCGGTATATATATCAGCGACACTGGTTCTCTGAGAACTGTGCAGCACGACGAAATGTAAGGCTTCTGGTATGTTTTCTACGCGGCCTTTGAGATGGAGGCAACGTGCCGGTCATGCTAAGGCAGGCACCAAAGGTAGGTTGTTCACCTCGCTTGACCCGCACTCAAGCCACCTCACACAGCACGGCTTCCCTCGTAACCAGGGAAGTATTTGACACAGGATACCGAAGGACACACGCAAGCTATGAGATGTTCTTGACTGAGCTTCAATATTCTCTTTCGATCCATCTGGGTTGGGTATCTATGCTAGGCAACACAGCAAGCACGCCTTTAAACAAAGCATCTACGCAGCCTTTTGCTCGTCATGCGACCCCTCTGACCCATGCTATGTATCGTAATGACCCTAAACACCACGCTTGAAAAGCAAAATTACATGGTATGATAAGCGCTTGAACACCTTGCCCCTCCCTCATGTTAACATATCAGCGATACTCCTTCGATGACTAATTCAGTCCCACACGCCCGCATCTAGGAATCCCCCACTGGAAAACCTCCCAAAGAGTTGACTACTCGTGATGCCATTCTTCTGCTGATTCTGCTTCTCGCGCTCCCGCTTCTCCCGTTCTTGTCGTTCTTCTTCCTTGGTGCGCTCGAGATCGGCCTGGACATCGCACATATCGATGAACTCATTAAGATTCTCGAGCACAGCGTCCACGTCATCGACCTCCTGAGACACCAGCTGAAGTGGCTGCTGCGAGGCTCTCGGTACATCGTGCGCCACCATGTGTGCCTCGGGCGCCGCTGCTTTTGCTCCAAGGGCGTCTGCTGTGACAAAGGCTTCGGCCATGGCCATTGGCCCGGGGCTTTCAAGAGCCTGCTGTGATGCGGACGGGAGGAGCCTGTGGGTGATCTTGGTCCTGCGCGAGACCGCCTGAAAGTGCTTCTGGAACTGGTCATCTTCACCGGTGGGAAGATCTGCTACTGCCAACTCTGGCGGCGGAGAGGCTGTCCTGTTCACCAAGGGGGTGGCAGGATCACTGCCGTCAGGGGATTCACCACCCTCAACCTCCGGAGCCCATCTGACACGCTTGGTTGGTCTGGGAGTCGCGTCCCAAGGGTTGTCGACTGTGGCTGCCAACAGGTTTTGCGTGCTTGGCAGATGGCCCCCACTCACGCGCGCCCTCTTAGGCTGGCGCCGAGGCCTTTCAGGAGAAGGTGACATGAAGTTGGCAAAACGCTTGATCTCAAGGATCGGTTCAGGCGTCGAAGCTCTCACAGTCTCCATGGGAGGTACTGACTCCTGTTCGATGACGGGCTCGGCCAAGGGCGTGGGCACATATGCTGAAGTTGACGAGGCAAGCGGCGAGGGTGAGGCGGGCATGGGGCTATTGAAAGAATTGAAGGCCAAAGCTTCTGCAGCAGCCTGACGCATCTTGACCGGGCTCGAGGCCCAGGGGCTCTGGTAGCTGGGATCTAGGAAGCTGTGCTGGCTGTTCTCCCGAATCGATTGAAGCTGGCGCACTGGGGCAACGGCAGGTACGTCCGCCTTCCAAGGACTTTGCTGAGATGCTGGGAGAGCTGGGCTCTCACGCGCGGGGGTGACGTCGTCGGGTTGAATGCTAGATGATGCATAGTCTTCAGACCGTTGAATATCTGTCCGGACGATCCCATTCATGGACTCAGAATGGGGCATGTGCTTGGGATTCATTGGTGTAGGTTCGAACTCGTCGTCTTGAACCATGGGCGTCTCTGGATTGGTGTACTTTTGTCCACCCATGGGTGTCTCCGTCGTATAGCTGTGATCCTGATGTTCCGCCGATGGAGCAGGAGGACAAGGACTACTCGGGCGAGGCATTTCGGTTTTCGACCAGGGGCTTTGTTGCGAAATCTCCTGGACCGCGCTGCTGACGGAAAGATCCTGCATGCCCGGAGAAACGGCGGCGGCAGTTTGTTGGTCTAGTACGACGGCTGGGGTTGGTTGGGGAGGGACTTGCTTGGGTGTCGATGCCCTCTGCTTCTCCGGCAAATCGAGTGGTACCGCTGCTGTCCGTTCCTGCTCGGCCGGCACCTCTTCGTTACCGGTTTCAGTATGCTTCTGCTTCTGTGGCGACTCAGGTTGCGCGACTATCGTCTGTTCCTGACTGGCCGATACTGGCTCGTCCTGAGCATTAGTTTCCTTTTGCTTCGTAGCAACTGCACAATGAACTGTCTCTGCCATATCTATAGTCTCAGAGATGACCGTTCTCCTCATAGCAATACCCGAGGCCAAATCTGCGGCCAGTTGAAGTAATGTCCCCTTGGTTCCCGCATCAGGCTGGCGGTTGTCTGCAACGTCCTCCTTCGGATTCTCACCGGCTCTACTAGACTCAGGCGAAGTCGCTTTGGTGTCGTCAGGAAAGCAGGTTTCCCCGTCAAGGTCCATAGCTTCATCGGCTGGTTCTGAATCTGACTGCGACTCCGACTCGGTGTCTGGCGTCGCGGGGGCGGGGGAAGAGGAATGATGTTCGTTGATCGCAACACTGGCATTGGCAGCAGTACCACGGCTTCTGGGCCGTGCGCGAAACAAAAAGCTTTCGTCCTCTTGAGTCTCGAATTCTATTTTAACTTCAATGCTGTCGTCGGTATCCTTCGCTTGCATCTCCACATCGACCTCTGCGGGCGCCTCTTCTCTCGCGTTTGTTTGTGGAGTCGTTTTTGACATCTTCGCAGATGGAGGTGTTTGAATGGGTGTGCTCAGCGGGGCGGGGTTCTCTTCCTCGGGGCTGGCAGTGGGTTTGGCTGGTGTTTGAGGCGGGAGTTGTTGTGATGAAGATTTGTTGGACCTTTGCAATGCCCTTCTGGACGACCTTGATTGACTTTGGGTACCCGGCAGGCTTTGCGCAGTCTCGTCCATAATCATAGGTAGTGTCCTATACATATCCTGAGAAAGATCTCGGCTTTGACCAGGGTGCTGCGTGTTAGGCAAGGCGACAATGGATGCACCTTCGACATCTTCCTCTTCTGCTTTCCGACGTTTGTTGTCCTTCCGCTTGAGCCAGTCTGATCCCATAGAACGGCGTTTCCTGTGAGATTGAGACTGCGATAGAGAAATATCGCTTGCGAATGACCAAGTTGGCTCGTCGTCTGGTTGTATTGCTGATTCCGTCGCACTCCTCCAAGCATGTACCCTCTCGAGATCCTCTGCTGTCATATGCGGGTTGGCCGTGACCCCGACCTGGTCCAGGCTCCGGGGGCTGGGTAGATGACAAGATCCCGTGTCATCGGCGTCTGATAGCTCACTCTCGGCAACCTCAAGCTCCGCGACAGTCTCCACGACGGCGACTGGTGGGTTTCTGCTTCTCTTCGACCGCCATGGGTTGACCCAGCCTTTCGCATCTGGTCCTTCAAACGGGCCTCGTAGCACCGACGTCAACAGCACGGGGGCTTGGCCGCTTAAATATCGGTGGGCGGCATCCTCAATCCGGCGTCTTCTCTCTTCTGGGCTGTCGTAATATTCGTCGTCGGATCCTTCGCAAAGGACTTCGGCATCATCGCGAGCTGGGTCGCAGAATGGCTCGTCGTCCAAGAACTGGACTCGCCAGTCTTTGGCGAAACTCATGGCGAGGAGGGGTTAGGTTGTTCATGAACTTTGATCGGTGTCGGGAGAGATTAAGTGGTTCGGTACGCTGGGCGGTCGCATCGGCGCCGGGCGGTGGTCCGGAGTGCGGGATGTCGTTGAAAAGAGAGGTCGGTCGTCGCCTCCCGCGCAGACAAACATGGGCTGCCAAATTGGACAAAGAGGCGATGGGTCGGGCGGGTCTTCATGTTCACCCGGCGACGCGACAGACGCGCCTGTGCACGGGCCATCGTGTTAAGTGGTCTCCACTGTTCTTTATTCTGGCGTTTGGAAGGCGAGACTCTCCAGCCATCGCACTGAGGCGCGAGATTACATAAGAGATGCGATTAGAAGCATGCGCCCCCCACGACTTCGATACAGCGATAGCGCCATCGGGGGATCGGGGAATTTGGTGTCGTGGCGGTTGACACAGCAACGCGCACCCGCCACTCTGAGCATAACATTGCGCTGCGAAAAGCACGCTAAAAATGGTCTTTATCCAATTGTTTATTCTGGGATCCGACCCTTGGAGCGATTGACATAACGCCGCCCCAAACCTGCACCAGTGCACCACACACACTCCACGGCCGCTACCAAACAGCGGAACACACTGACGCGAAGGCTCGACCGCGTTCCCCACGAGTAACAATACAATACGTTTTACAACTTCACAATACAACAAACCATCACGACGGGACCTCACCGCACCCCAGCGGAGGCTGCCACGGTGCTTGTGCTGCCAGTCCTTTTGCCATTCTGTTCAGCTTGCCATTCTGCATCTTTTCCACGTGCATTTTCACTTTGGCGACCTTCCCATTGCAACTGCCCGCGTAAACAAATCGCATCCATCGCAACAACACACCCCGCAAACCGCGACGCCTCTTGCAGCCATTTACATCCCCCGATGGACAGTTTATAACCACCAACATCCCACTATTCCGATTGCACGAGCCCTTACATCATGGCTCCCGCTTGGCTTGACTCCCTCTCCGAGGATTGGCCTTCCCAGGCTGGATCTGAGGCGTCGCCGTCCGCCCTGCCGCCTTTGAAACCAAGCGAAAACAACAAGACACCCAACGGCAAGGGAGCCGGCAGTCGCATACCACTCCCTGTCAGTAGGATACGACCGTCGAGTGCCGGCACTGAAAAAAGCGTCGGAGTCCTCAGCGAACGAAGCACAAACGACATCAACCTGCCACTCTCTTCCCAACGAAGACCTACCCCGAAGCGTTCTCGAGAATTCAAGCCCTCCGAACTATCTCGCCAACCCAGTCGCGCACTCTCGGCCTCAACAAATGGCTCTGTTATTCATAACACAGTGCAGCACAAGTCGATAAAATCGTCCCCACTGAAGAACGTAGGCAGCACACCGGAATGGAAGCGAAGGCTCGTGTATGGGGACGTTGCGTATGGCGAACAAAGAGATCTGTTCTGCTCTGCTGCTGCAGGTCTTGAGAATATGTTCAAGCCGCCAACGCCCCAGGACACCAGCCTGGCAGACCAGAGCCCCCGCCACGAGTCGACGTTACCTTCGAGCCCCCCGTTTTTCCGCCGCGCAGACGTGACCACAGGCGAGGAGGAGGAGGAGGAGGAGGAGTCTGACGGCAGAAGCCAGATGGATCCAAGTCCAAGCCCAAGTCCTAGGATACGACCGCCTCAAGTCACGTACAAGTTGGCGGACGATTCGCTCGACCAAAGCAAGCTTAGCGAGTTCAGTGCGCCTCAAGACAGCCATCCTCAAGAGCCGACCGAACCCACCGTGAAAGAAAGTGTCCCTACTGCAGACACCTCAGTCACCGGCCTCGCACCCCCGAACGACGCGTCGAGAAAGACGAGCGGACATAGTGTCATCCGAAACGAGGATTTCAGCCCGATTGTGCTTACACTCATGCGCCCAAAAGGCGAGGAGGGCGACGCAGAGCCCTTTGCGCCTACCGAACTGCCCATCGACCAGCTTCAAAATCGTCTTGAGAAGCTTCGCATTGACCAGATGCTTCTCGACTCTCAAGGCGAGCTTCAGTTTGACGCAGACGAAACGCAGGATGAGCCCGAGAACGACAAGGTGGACACAACCGAAGACTATGCGCGCAAGGGAGGCTTTCTCAACTTGCAGCGTGGTGGCAGGTCTGGTGATGGGTCATTCAGATACCGGGGTCTGAGTCCCGGCATGCGTGTCGATACATCTGAGATGTTCCCCGAAGAATCTCTGCAAGCAAGCACCCCCAAGCAGTTCCCCAGCGTCAGGACCTACTCGCCGGGGCAGGGAACGATGCGATATGGCTCTCAAAGTCCCCCACCTCCAAGAGCACCTCATCCGAGTCCTGACAAGCGAGCAACAGCCGGGACCAACAGCACGAGCCCGCTGAAGCTGTTTGGGCCCTACGACACCTTCACCAACCAAACGCTTCTCCGTCGCATTAGCCAGTTTGAGGACCAGATGTCAGGCTCATCGCGACAATCACTGAGCGGAGCGTATTCTGGGGATGCTTCCAGACTGACTGAGAAGCCTAGACCTCATACTGCTCCCGTGGGCTACCTCTCCGTGCCAGCTCAGCAGACTGCTGCAAGTTCACGATCCGTCAGTCAGTTCGGCGCAGGCGATTTGGAAGGTTATCAGTTCGATCAAGAAATTTCCATTCGACGCGATGATGAGGAGTCACAATTTTACGACGAGGGCGACTTCGATGGACTTTCTGGCTTTGAAGAGTCTGTTTTGCGATTTGCGAATGTCACAGGCTCTCCAGGCCAAGAGGAGTCAATGTTTATCCCCAGGAAGCGTGCAAAGTCTGCGACAACGACGGATTCATCGTCAAAACACACTCGGGAAGCCTCATTCGGCAGTGAGGGCAGTGTTCAGAGAGGAAATGTTCGGTTCCCATTGGACGACTCCCTCTTGCTGGGAACTCCACACAGACGCGACACTGGTTCAGAGGGAAAGAGGCCAATGACCTCGCCATCAAAAGACCCGACTCCGAAGCGAAGGAGGACGCTGCACAAGTCTGATATTGCTTACGGACGTGAAGAGCGCTTTCAAGCGCTGGAGCCTGTTCATGAGTCTCACGCCCTGATGCAGAGCATGATGGGCAAGAAGCGAAAGGACGCCCGTCCGGGGAGCATGCAGCAAAGAGCTCATCCTAGCGTGCTGGCTAATCGCCATATTCTCCGCCCTCGAACTCCAACGCCGAGCTCAAGGTCGTCAATGCAGAGAGATGACTACTTTCCGGAGGATTACCTGCTCGAGGAGCCACCGACGCGTCGCTCTCCCACCCGCGCTTCACAGCTCACGACGAGCGGCAACGATCGCAATGGCACTCTCGATACGGACCGAAAGCCATCCATCAGGACCCAAGACTTTTTGGACGAGGCTGGCAAGATCATGGCGATGATCAGGAATGGAGCCAAGGCCCCGAGTGGTCTCACGAGTGTTGAGGAATCTGATGCGGAGTTTGGCGAGCCCAGTCCGGTCTTTGATGAGGACTCATACGAGGAGTCAACAAGAGAGCCGCTCTCACGGCCTCCTAGCCGCGAGGGGAAACCCGTACAGAGGGCACCGCAGCGACAGGAGAACCCCGACATCCTCGACTACTTGAAGAAGTACCAGGAACTCAGTGACATGGGAGACGTCATCTCCTCATCCCTCAGATCTATGGACGAGGCACAAGACGCCATTCGTGTGGCACAGGAAGTTGAACGGCAAATCGAGGAGCGAAGCCGTGAAAGAGCTAACACTGAAGAGCTGCAATACCTTGGAGGCGATGAGACTATCAGCGACCCCCCAAACATCCGCATCAGCGCCAACCCAAATAGGCCGATGGACTCGATTGATGCAGACGACTACCCGACCCACTCATCTGGAGCATCCACCACCCGAACCATCCACACAGGCTCCTCCCGCAATTCCGAGTCACGAAAAACCATCATGCCTCAGAGCGTGTCCCATTTGATCCCGGACCAAGTGGGTAGCATGTACCTGGACCGCCAGCAAAACATCTGGATCAAGCGGAAGGGGGAAAGTGTTCGTCCTAGAAGTGCGCACTTACACTCTCACGTGCTTCCTTCGGAAGACAGCGAGGACGATCCTTTCGCGAGCATTCCGGACCTGTCTGTTGATTTGACTAAGGAGATGCAGCACTTGCGGATTGTGACAGCTCAGAAGGAGGCCGAAGCAAACGAGGCGGATTGGTCGCTGTCACCACCTGGCTCTGCTGGCTCCTTTGGCACTCCTCGGAACCCGTCAGGCAAAGGTTTCGTCACTCTATCACCAGATGGGACCTTACCGAAGGATATTGCGGCGCAAGCTCGAACCGAGTTCACGAAACTCGGAAGCAAGCTACCTGTTGGAGAGGTCGAGCACGAGATCCAACTCGATGAGGATCGCATTACCGACTCCTCGCCGTCTCGCAGACGGATGACGATTTCTTTCTCTTCGCCAATTGCCTCCATTATTCAGGATGTCGCGGCAGAAGACATTGATAGCCTCGAGGACGACGAAGGCAGCTTTATTGATTCTCAGTTCGTCTTGGAGGAATCCAAGCGCAGCAAGTACCAGAGCTTGACAAAAGCCGCCCGTCGAAACTTGTTGCAACCCCGGCCTTGTACCGCCCCGGCACGCGGCCCTTCCAGGCAGTTCTCTCTGCGCGGCCAGTCCTTTGTTCCGCGCCCCGTTTCTCGTATTGACGAACGAGACGAAGACAGCGTTGTCGACAATGCCGAGGAGAGGCAAGTCAGCATCATCGCTGATAACAGCGCCCTTAGCCACGTCTCGCACGAAAACCAAGAAAGAAGTCTTAGTTTTCTCATCAAGACGCCCGGCAAGACTAGGAACGGCGGTCTTTACCCTGACGCAGGAGCTTTCATCAGCCACCACGTCGGCAATCTGTCTCTCAGTCCCATGTCCGAGTTTACTTTGAACCACAACGAGAAGTCATTTGGCTTCGAAGTCAGCTACATTGTAGACGATCAGCGACTCGTCACCGGAGACGGCTCCAAGAAGGTCATGTCCA